TACCTGAAACTCCTTCGAGCTCAGCGTTACTAGGCCTCCATTTGAATTTGCGGTGAGGGAATTTACGTTGTAACTCGTGATATGATGTCAAGGCCAATACATTAGCGCAAGCACCTGTGTCTATATCAAGAGCCAATCTGGTATTATCCACTCTCACCGGCACTGACAACACTTCCACTTTTCTAAGCGCCGCTATTAATGAGGCCGCTATAGAAGTGCTGTGAGGAGGGGCGGGAATTACCCTATCTATCCCTCTCCTTGCTGTAGTGTGCGCTGGTCTTCCCCCGACAACTTGTCCTGGGGACGTTTCTGCTTGCGCCTATACGACACCGCCGTTTCACTTAGGTCCACTCCCCTAGCCTTTATTAGTATATCGCACTCATGTGAACTATGAGATGTCGATTTGTGAAGAGCGCACCATTTGCGCGCTGTCTGGGTAGGAGGAGGAGGTGCTGCTTTAGCTCCCTCTCTGTTTGACCTTGAGAATGGCTTTGCACCGGGTGTGGCTTTATTTGCACTATTACCTCGGAGCTGAAAACAATCTTCCATTACGTGGCCACGTTTATTACAATGTGCGCATCGTAACGATGTTTTCTGTTTATATGTTAGGCGGGGAGGAGCGATCGGAGCTAAGTGTGTCGCATAAGGAGTCTGGGAGTGAGGCTGTGACCTACCCCCAAAAATCCCAATTAGCGTTCGCTTGAACTTTTCATAGTCAGGGCTTTGTAAACCAAACGCATTTAAACGACTGCCTGCATAGGAACCCTGCGTTATATGGGAACGTACATATGCTTTCTTTTCTTCGTCAGTCGTTATGTGACTATTGCGCATGCTATCTTCACATGCACGAATAAAATGTGCGACCCTATAATCGTCTTGTCCCGTGAAATTTCGAACATTGTCGCTGCGCTGCATGATATTAATAACATTATCAGCTTTAGGTGTGGTAGTAGTACTGGTGTGAGGGTTAGAAGATGCCATTTTAGTGTTATTAAGCAAGTTAGTATTCTTACTCTTAACAGAAGGCTGGGTTAATAAGGTTGTTACCGATTTAGCAACAGACACACTATCACCTGTAACAGGGGTAACTGCTTTAGTATACTTAGGTGAGGTACTATAGTGATTACCAGACCGTAGGGTACGACGGTTTAAGTCGTCAAATGATTCGTCTATAACTTTCTCACTACTTCCTACCGACTCATTTAACTGTGTTCCATACTCAAAATCTATGTCAGTCTGGGCTTGGTCATTGATGAGTTGGTTATCAGCAAATAGTTGCGCTAGGCGTTCGATTTCATCTACATTAGACATGGGAAACTTAGAAATTATCTATTAGCCCCCTTGGGTCAATGAATACTTAACAGTAAGTAGATCACTTGCCTCTCATTTACAAGACAAATGAATATTAATTGTAGTTAATTTTTAAACTATCAATAAGAAGACAGACACTTACAAACTACTGTAAATTATAGGATTTCAATACATTAATCTTACATTCGACACTTTATCATTGAAATAATCCTATCCGACGAACCTATCGGTGTGAAGATATCTCTCGAACGTGTTCATGTGTGTAGAACTATGTAATTTAAATACCTATTTATACAGAGTACGTCTGTATAGAAAACGTGATCCTTCAAGAGTTCTGAGTGGAGTGTGGGCGGGGCCTCTTCCTAGGATGCGTGTGCTGCGGCTGGTTTCCTTGGCAACGAGATGACGCTTCTGCTTTGGTGAGAGACGAGTCCACTTGATTTAGGTGAGTTCCTCCTCCGGCGATCAGAAAACTATGATTGGTTATCACACTGGTGGTTGCTGGTTCGCTGGCGAAAACTGCCGTGTGCCAATTCTTCACAGTCCACGTATATATGGAGATCTGTATGATGACACCGGAATTCGTAATTCGCGCTGACGACACAACAATACTGCTCAGCTGCGAGTGAAATACCAATTGAATTCCAGGATACGAAACTGTTGTTCAACACTGCAACACTGTAATGTCTAGGGAATGCTGAGTGGAGTCTATCTCAACCGGCTCAATCTGAATATGTACCAACACGATGTAATATTTGTATATTTCGAATTCTGCACGTATTTGTATGTGACAGAGATAAGGAGCGCTCACTACATATCGTCTCAATACAGGATATAGTTTTAAACACTCGGATTATGTAACGCGTCACTGCTGTGTGGTTTCTTGTTTTTCACAAGACACAGACGGATGATACGACTACCAGTTTGAAGAATCCGTACACACCGCTTGCCACCTATATGAATCGGCTGCTTGTCCAATTAACCAGTCCGTTCACACATATTTATATTTGGGTTTTAAGTAACGAAACCCAAACGGTAGTTCCTTTGTTTTATTATAAAAGGTTGTATATATAATTCCTGAGTGTATATCAACCGTAAGTCTCACTGTCTAGGAGTGAATGAGAAAGGGACGGCGTTTATGTATGATAAACGTTTGGTCACGTCCTTTCGATATGAGTTGAGGTGAGCTACTGAAGCTTAGGGGCATCGCAGTGCGTGCTTACAGAAATGCTGAGCTATGGGTCTCGCCCTCTTGGGTAAGTTGCCCGCTCACGTGTCAATCTCATGTCTTACTCATAGACAGTGGAAAGTTACAGGGTGGTGAATCTGAATATAATATCAGATGTATTGACCCATTTATATAATACGTTCTGTTGATGAGACAGGGGCCTATTACAAGGGTCAACTACTAAGCCACGCCTACCCACGCTATTTAAGACCTGACCTCGTGGTGACCTGCCTTTTTCTACCTACAGCTGCAGCCAGCAACACACCTCCTCCTCCGCCGCTGCCTGGAGGCCCTCGCTCCTCCTCCGCCTGCCTGGCGGTCCTCTCTCCCGCCGGCGAGCATGGCAACCCACAAGCTGTCCTGTGAGCATCCTCACCAACCAGCTCTCTCTACATCACGCTTGTAACCATGCTGCCTTCCCAGCACCAAGCTGCACTGTACATCCAATACAACATGTATATAGAGAGCACATTGTGAGTTTCCTTTCTCCATTCCATCCTGAGTGTGAACCAAACAACTTGAACCCCACAACTTCTTCAAATCCTACAATGTGCTTGGCAAGGTCAAAACACACACACAAACACAGGAATTAAGACAACAAGCATTCAGTGAGGGTCTTGCTGTGTGACTGCATGGAGGTGAATTAAAAGATCAGCTGTTGAGGAGCTTATCAACACTGGTGCCACTCCATCACCCACACCTTTCTCACTCCCTATTTTAAAATGTTATGTAATATAATGTTGAAGGGATACAACTTTGCTCATTTAAACTTATACTTATCACAATCTCTCTAAAAATACTTAGGTTTTGTGTTTATTCAAGACATCTTCAGGTCATGAGACCCACTAATCCCCTACCCAAGAAAGGGTGACCTGACATTCCATCAGAAGGTCAATACATACTATATGAGACCACTAATCCCCCACCTGACAGAGTCAGGCAAAGTCAGCCCCCCCCCACCCCCCAAAAAAAATACTTTAACTTTCTTCTTTATTCAAGACATTTACAGAAAATTCTCTTGATTTTCAACCTCGGAAAATTTGTTACCAAAGCAGGAATTTTGTGAAAATTCCGGCTTTGGGAATTATTTTCCAAGCAAATTTCAATTCCGGCTATCGGAGATTTCCGGGTTTGAGGGATTCTGGCTAACGGAGATATTACCGTACTTACAAATAAGTGTTGTTCACCTTATGCTGCCAACCTCACCCCACTGCCTCACAAACACACATTCTTGACTCTTCATAAACCCTATGATGCCAACATGTGGTAAGGACTTGTATTTCTGTAATCATGCATGACCTAAGTGTGAAGGGGAGGGAACACAACACAATACCTGCGACCCGTTCAGTGCACAATGATGATGGGTCCACAAACTAACACATATACCTAGTCAGTTGACAAGTATGGATTTAACACTGAGTGTACTAGTTACCATCTGCCTGTATGTAAGGGGTATATATTCCACTCCAATGATTGTTGGGTTTGTTCTCAGTATCTGAAGCAGGTGTTACTCATGGGTAGTGTGGGGTGTATGGCTGGTCACTTGGCTCCCTTCCTCTGACCCAATTGGTCATCTGCTACCTCTTTTTACTCATGGTCACATTGGTGTGAACTGCTGCAGTCCTAGCCTTGTATGTCAGCATGCCAGCTAGGACACAGTCAGCCCTAGCCTCTGTGCTGTTCCTCCTGGGTTCATTACCAAGTACCTGTGCCAGTTAGGAGTATACTTGCTCCCCTGTGAAGCTTTTGAGGAGACACCAATTTACCACCTGTGCCGTGTGTATAGACAAAACCCCACGCTTGACATCCAGTGTTTACACCCCCGACATTTGTTCCGACCGGCACTTCCATACCACATACAGTATGTTTATGTTACTCTGTACTGTCTTCCTGTCAATTATCAGTGTAAATACCTGTAAACAGACATCTCTTGTTACAAATATCCATAATCTTGTTCAAAATTCTTGGTGAAATGGAAGTGTTCCACCTGACAGTAATTTTTAAAAAACCAGAGGACGTTAACATCTACAATAAACCCTGGACACTGTAGACCTTCTCCACAGGGCACTGAAGGTTGAGTCAAAGGTGAACTTTTACTTAAAAAAAGAGTAAATTCTTGATGCTTGTTCTTTAATAAATAAATGTACAGCACAGTTACACCCCATGATAAATACAGCACTTATCAGCCTTTAACAGTATTTTAATGTATAAACAGTTTTACTGATCTGATACTGTACCACCTCATTATGTAATGGAAGAATTAACACAACTCTATGCATCATCAGACGCATTACAAGTAACGAGAGATGAAATGATCGTGACTAAAATGTTTTATTGGAGTGAAAAAGATGGTCATTCTTATAAGCGTATGAACTACGGACAGTCTCGATGAACAACCTTGTTTGCATCATGGTAAATAATATATTCACTATACAACCTCACTGGGAACACAAACAAAGTCTTAAGAACTTATTTATTTTCACAATATCATGTCTCTTATTTAATATATTTACAATGTATTACACTATACAGTACACACAATACAGTGGTTCTCATACAGGTATTCAGCAATCAGACTTCACAGTCAAAATAAAATTGCTTACAAAATAACTTTGACCCATAATTTTTACATAAAAAAAAATTACTAAAAATTTTCCATCTGAGGCAGTTTAAATTGGGCTAGACTTAAATCCTCGAACAGCATAATCGGCTCCTTCCTTATGAGAGACCAGAGGGAATCTTGGGTCATTAGGGGTCACCATCTCTTTGCTCTGTGTGACTCTCCAACCTCCCTTCCTCGTCCAGTCCTGTCGAGAGAGACCAAAAATTATACTTTTAAGAAGACTAAGAAATACAAATTTTTCACTACACTTAATTTTAAGTGAATAAAAGCATGATGATGAATGCTGTTAAACCAAACTATTTATCAATGATATATTCAAATTTTGACTAAAAACTCACATTCTGGTCATATTTGAAGTAATACCAAGTAGCGTAGGCTGCAATGGCAACCAAACCAAACTTTCCGGTAAACCAACGGTACTTTGCAGCTCTCTGATAACCCTGTCAAGAGATATCATTATAAAGAGTAATATTTACAACACTGTAGATCCTGTAGCTGGAACACATTTCCCCTGCCTCACTCTATCTTCTGTGAGTGTTGCTAATTTTCTTAACGGTACTGTGTCACCTTCCATGGAACAATACAATACAGTAAGTGTTCATTTAACATTGCCCCTGATAACGTTGTTTCGTTATATCGTCGCAACTCTTTAGAATACCCATGATTCGGATAAAGTCCCGCCGATTTGGTATAACATCGTCACGGTCTACTGTGTACGGCGCATCACCCTCTCTCATCTTGGCGCGCTATGCTCTCTCACGGAGCATGACAGCGTCCCCGATCTTTGTTAGGCTTCCACAGCGTTTGTGCATGTTTAAGTGTTTTTGCTATAAATACTGTACTGTAAGTGCTAGTGTTGTAAAGAAGCAACGTAAGACCATAAGCCTTGCTCCGTAAGTGGAGGTTTTAAGCCGTTTTGAGAAAGGTAAACGTGCGGTGGACACTGGTGTTGCGCTAGGTCTAACCCCCACAACAATGAGTACTACTTGCCCATCAGTGAATACATACAAAATGATTTAGTTTATTTATCTTTTGGGATGTATAATATACTGTATACTATTTACTATAAAAATTCCATTGAATTTCTGTATATGTAATATATTTTATGGGGCAAAGGGAGGCTGGGGAATGTAACTCCCGTATTTTATCTATTTATTATGGGGAAAATTTACTACGTTAACGTCGCGGTTTTCAGTAATGGAACCACGACGTTAAGCGAGGATTTAGCGTACCGGGTATTGTATATTTTAGGTTAATACAGTGATAAAGATGAGAATAACTGCTTGAGGCAGTGTCCCACTGTCTGAGTCAACACCTAACTCCCTATGGTATCTTTACATTATTTACTAACAAGTCTTCTTTTGGATTATCTATACTGTACAGCAAAAAAAATAAAAAAAGCCCAGAATAATGTTAATAAAGTTGCACCTGTTATATCCTCTCAAGTGTGCTGTGGGTTTTGTCTCCTTCCACCTCTGTACAGTAATGTCTGCTCCTGGAGGGAAAATAAACTGGCTGCCACTTCTGGCCTGATCCCTATCATGTCATGGATGAAAAGAAAAATTGTTCTAGAATAATTAATTATAGCAAAAATGTAGATAATGTACTCTCAAGTACTGTAGCCACGACCTAAGTGAAACAACTGTGTGTTCTCAATATGTTATAATTTTTTGCTTCCTGTTTACTCATAGTGTTTGTAGAGTATACAGTACAGTATCTGTTTACCCTTTAATGTATTCTGTATTTGTGGAGAGTACAGATACTGTACAGTATATATTTATCTATATATTTACTGAACTGCATTGACAGCCATTGATAGTTATGTTTCATCAGTGAGGGGACTGATCTGCAGCACCTGTACACTCATGGAACATGCATCACCTTTACTGTCTTGTTTCTTGGTATTTTTTACAATCAACAACAAGATCACAGGAGATGGTAAACATTATGGGTAGTGCCACTCCACAGCTGTAGACGATCACATCAGTATTCAAGTTTGATGATGTTAGCTGGAGTCTATATTCTTGGGATGTAGTACAGTATACAGTATAGTCTGCATTTACGCGGATTTTGTTTATGCGTTTGGTCATTTACGCGGTGCCTTGCCAGAATGTAAATGCTTTAATTACGCGGTAAATTTGGTCATTTACGCGGGAAGCGGCGCGGGCAGGGTGCGCACAAGGTCGCCCAGTCATCAAAACATTACCGAGTTCTTCACACACCACAGCCGGCCCAAGTCAGTGATAGTGAGGATATGGACTTTGAGGGGTTTGACAAAGAGGCCCTGCAAGCCTCTGTGGTGGATAGTGATACAATTGATACAGGTGAGGGCCAATAATCTGCCCTCTGCCTTGGAACCAACCCCCCATCCCCGTGTGCCCAGCCATCTTTTCTACGAACGTAAGTGTTAAAAAACCTAATATTATTGATATTTCTCTTAAATATTAATTGTGTGTGCATACCATCATAAAATTAAGATGTTATTTTTACTACAACGTAGGTATTGTGTCGGAAAAAGTGGAGTTTGGGGGTCAGCCCAGTCTCTATTTCAATTAATCCCACGTTCTGTTATTTTGTTTACGCGTTTCTCGTTTTACGCGGACCTCCACGGGTTCAATTGAACGCGTAAATGCAGACTCAACTGTATCTCAGTTTATAATGGGGCTTTTGGGGAATACATTTTTGGGCTGCAATGCATCTCAGGATTTAACATGGGATCCTATGGGAAAATTAGTCCAGTTTATCAAGCATCCACTGATCTGGTTTAAGGACAAGCACAGTAATGCCACAATTGTCACCTCTCTGTGTAACACGAGCGCTGAAACAATGTGGAGATGTTCTTGGTTGCAGGAGAGGATTCACTAACAATACTTTAAACAAGATGGTTCAACTCCTCGTACTGTAAATCAGTTTTAAGAGTCGATGACAAACCAATTTGGTGAAGAAGTGATCAGCCAGAGCTTATATCTCAATGGCCTTCACATTCCCCAAACCTGAAGCAAACAATAAAAGCCAAATTCATCACAATTCTTCACCATCAACTTCCAGTTAATGACTTCACACATTATACTCACATCTATATTAAGTATTTATAATGAATATAGATGGAAGTGTATACAGGAGGTCCCCAGTTATGTATGTCTGACCTCAGAACAAATGAGGCCCCATATAGTTAAACTTTATATTTACAATATTTTATTTACCCGATGACTTAGATGTTACTTTCATTTACTGTGTGTTATCATTCTATTTCTTGTTTTCTCTTAAATTTGGTGATTTTAAATGTATATAAGGACTTAGGCTATGATATACTGTAATAGCATTTTAAAAAATTCTGTAAATACAGTTAGCGCATTTTCGACTTCAGAACGTTCATTGGAACGGAACTTGTACATAACCCAGGAACTGCCTGTACAGTGAACCTATATATATATATATTAGTTAAATTTAATTGGTATATTTCTAATTATCTGAAAATCTAAAATGTAATGATGATCTACACGGTACAATATTTACCAGAGCTGGCACGAGGGGCTTGAAGAGGGTGTCCAGAGGCCAGCGATAAAAGCGACGGATGGGGTTGTAGCGAGCCTCATAGAACCCAGGGACGATGGCAGGTTCACTTTCAGCAAGGACCTGAAGGCAGAGAGACAAACTTATACATGTTTTTATTGATCGTGTGTGATCTAATGTAACACCAGACTTGACCAGCAGGAGCACACATGTTCAGGAGCCCATACATGCCCAGAGTGTAATAGAGAGCATATCGACCAGCTAGTAAGGTGACCCGGGGCAAAGAAAAGAAGAAACCTTATAGTTTTCAGTACCATGACGAGCAACCAAACCAAGACTTACAATCTCACTCCCTTGTGTGCGTGGCTTCCTCCGAGCCGAGTAAAATCCTCTGGCATTAGCCGAATAAAATTTAAAAGTGGCGTCCCATAGCAAAGGGGCCAGGTGCAATTAAAAAACAAGCACACCAAATCAAATGTTCTTAGCTACAGGTCGTTCTCGTTTATGTCGAGGGCCGAGTCCCTACAAAAGGCCGCCAGAAGCAAATTTTAATATAAAGAAAAGTTTCCATTGTAAAAGTGGAATTATGTTCCCAGACACAGCCAAAGATTTTGTGAATACACTAATGGCATTTTATATAAATAGATAATGCAACTACAGTAGTAGTAAACAATTGTACTGTACAGGTACAATACAGGTTGTACCTCTCTAGTCCGGCATTCTGTGGTCCGGAACGATTTTAGTTTGTCCAATAGGTAGATAGGCAGCTTTTTTTTTTTTTTTACTAATCTGAATTATTATTATTATTATTATTATTATTATTATTATTATTATTATTATTATTACAGGAGTATTAAATTTTTGCCCCACAGGACCCAATGTGGGTCAGTGACCTATACCCGGGTGGGCTAATCCCAGTAAAAAAAAAAAAACAACAAAGCCGTGGGAAATTAAGGTTTGTTTACATCCGGCAGTTCGGATCTCTCTGCTTGTCTATACAGACTACAACATTTAACCCTTCAATATATATGAGCAGTAAATAAGTGTTGCTTTCATATTCTTATGTAGAGTAATGACGATATGTTTTCACATGTGCGCACTTACATACACGCATTAAATAACATTACTTAAAACAACCATATTAATTCTACTACAGCTACAACCAAGGTCTTATTTTCTTCAGTTTTATATGTAGAACCAGTGAGTCACTGGTTTTGTAATCAACGAAAACAATGCTGTGTCATTTCCTCGTGTGTTTTAATATTCTACATATTATTAATGAATTGTATAGCTCAATTTGCACACATAAACATTAATTCAATAAAAAAGACATTCAGTAATAAACAATAATGAATCTTTTATACATAAGAGAAATGATACTGTTTACACGATTATGCACGTCGTCTGCACGTTGGCGGGCCGTTCAAACCCGTCGAAATTTAAGTTTCCGCCGTCAAAATTTTTATTTATTTATTTTTTTGTGTTCCAATAAAATACGTTAAGAATTAAAAACTCGCGAAATTTGAGAAGCTACTATACGACATTTAACCCTTCAATATGTCTTCAAAGAGACCATGATGCAGAGAAAGTGGTGCTAGTGCTTCCAAGCATAAGCACAAGTCACTATCTATCCAGGAAAAGGGTGAATTTCCATGGTCCGGCACCGGTCAGGTCCCGAGGTTGCCGGACTAGAGAGGTACAACATGTATACTGTACTGTAGGTCTGGAGTAAAGTTTTCCTTTAAAACAGCTCAAAATGGCCACACAAGACTACGTAATACTGGTCTTTCTTTGACAGTACTCGCACACCATGTAAGCCGCACTACACACACCCACATGGAGTCTAGCAGTCCGGTGATAACAGGTCCTTAACTGTCAATAGCTACACAGGAAAATATACCTTATGGAAGAACATCGTCTTGTCAGTTTACAGGGAAGGGCACAAGGAGCACCTTTATACTGTGGGTGACCTATGGTGTGGTAGAGGTAGTGACCTATGGTGTGGTGGAGGTAGTGACCTATCGTGTGGTAGAGGTAGTGACCTACGGTGTGGTGGAGGTAGTGACCTATGGTGTGGTGGAGGTGGTGACCTACGGTGTGGTGGAGGTGGTGACCTATGGTGTGGTGGAGGTAGTGACCTATGGTGTGGTGGAGGTAGTGACCTATGGTGTGGTGGAGGTGGTGACCTATGGTGTGGTGACCTATGGTGTGGTGGAGGTGGTGACCTATGGTGTGGTGGAGGGAGTAGTGACCTATGGTGTGGAGGTAGTGACCTATGGGCATTAAGTGGAGGTAGTGACCTATGGTGTGGTGGAGTGGTAGTGACCTCTATTGGTGGAGGTAGTGACCTATGGTGTGGTGGGGAGTAGTACCCTATGGTGTGGTGGAGGTAGTGACCTATGGTGTGGTGGAGGTGGTGACCTACGGTGTGGTGGAGGTGGTGACCTATGGTGTGGTGGAGGTAGTGACCTATGGTGTGGTGGAGGTAGTGACCTATGGTGTGGTGGAGGTGGTGACCTATGGTGTGGTGGAGGTAGTGGCCTATGGTGTGGTGGAGGTAGTGACCTATGGCGTGGTGGAGGTAGTGACCTATGGCGTGGTGGAGGTAGTGACCTATGGTGTGGTGGAGGTAGTGACCTATGGTGTGGTGGAGGTGCCTTGATGGTTTGTTAAATGTTGTCTGATTGGCTTAGGACAATGGCCAAGCCTACTTGAGGAAAACAGTACTGAATACAATACAGTAGAGAAATTGTCTTCCTTTATACCCTCATGTCTCCATTGCCATGACCCGACCAACACAAGAGTGAGGTGAGAGGAACAGATATATATATATATATATATATATATATATATATATATATATATATATACATAACTACGCTAGAAGGAACATAATTAAATACTTCTTCACACAGAGCAGATACATTTATGGAAAGGTTCACCAGCCCAAGCTCTGGAATTAAGAACATTACACCAGTACAGTACCTTAACATATACGAGTTCAACTCTCGCCAACTCGACTATCTGTGAAACAACTCAGACGTTTTTATCTATTAAAATAACATAAAAAGATAAGGTTCTCATTTTAAAAACAGCGGGCGTCTGCCATGATTGATGTGATGCTGCCTCTGTGCAGATACTCTCACCCACCAGTCTTGTCTGAGAGTTGGAGTTAGTGAGTCAACTGTTTGTTTGAACATATTTTATGAAGTGGATCCATTATCAGAACGAAACATTAAAATTTAAATAAACACAAATGACCTCTACATAAAGATGTGTAATGAGAAAAGAAAGCAGCTGTGCAAGGTTCTTTGGAGAGCTTTATTATTGGAAGGCCTAAACCATCAACTTCAGCATCATAAGCAGCTTGAACAACAACTTCAGGTTCAGTAACAGTTTCAGCAACAGCTTTATGGAAAGCTACAGCTTCAGCTAGAGTTGAACCTGATGACTTCGTCATCTGAGTAAAAACTCGCACAATATTCATTGGCTGTCCTTATGTTTTAGACTTTACCGCTATTGGCGAGTAGAATTTTTGTTTTACATTCGTAAATATTATTTAAAACATATATGAACAGTAAATAAGTGTTGCTTTCATATTCATATGTAGAGAAATGACGATATGTTTTCACATGTACGCTCTTACTGTTCATACGTAGGTGTTCCCAATCGTCTCACTTTATTTCTTTACCATTAGTGGTTAGCTACTTCCAGTGTTCCATTTATTAACATTAAATAGCATTACTTAAAACATATATACAGGTATTAATTTTTTTTTAAATTAAGATCACTACAGCTACAACCAGGGTTTTATTTTCTTCAGTTTCTTATGTAGAACCATTGTCACTCACGAAAACAATGCCGTCTTGTCTCCTCTTGTGTGTTTTAATATTCTATGTATTATTAACAAATTTCATTGTTCATTTCACATACATAAACATTAATTCAGTTAAATACATATAGTGATCCCTCTGTTAACGAGCGCCTCGGTTAACGAGATTTCAGTTAACGATTTACCTTCCATAAGATTCTTAACTTCGGTTAACGAGCAATCCCTCGATTAACGAGTTTTTTACGAGCCGACTTCAACATGTTTTCGCTTGCATTTGGCGGTCCACCAGCTGTAGTATTAGTCCGCCAATACAGTAATCAGTTTTAGGGCTTAAATTCCTTACTATTTTAGTAAATATCAAGAAGTTTATACTATTCAATAATTTTAAAAGCTTAATATTAACTTTTATAGTCATTTTAACAAATATTGAACATAATTGAAGGTAAAGAAACTAGTTTCTGGCGTGCCATCCAGCCTGTTAACACACCAGACAGGCGTTAGTCTCTCTCTGTTTTCAGTGGAGGTAACATCTTGCTTGAGACTCTCTTCAACTGAACGCTTTTTTCTGTGTTTGCAAGCAAATTATTGGTCATTTTGAAATTTATTTTACATATTGACAATATATAATGCAGTGCAGTGTCGATTTAAAGAAAATAATCTTGAATTACACCAAGAGAACTAAAATTTTATGGGTGAAATGGCACCATGGGGTGACTTCTCTTCCACCCCAATGCCTTCTCTTCTCCCTTCTCCTCCACCCCCATTCTAATTCCCATCATCATCATCATCATCATCATCATCCAGGAGCCTTCTACATACACACCTCAAAGTAAGTGTACTTTTCTACCGTTTTTGTTGAATTTAGGTAATTTTCGGTGAGCTGGAACCAATTACCCAAAAACCCATTGAAACAATGGTTTCGGTTAACGAGCAACCTGCTGGAACGGATTATGCTCGTTAACCGAGGGACCACTGTATTCAGTAATAAACAATAATGAATCTTTTGTACATATTCTTAATAAGATAAATGACGCTGTACTTCCATAAATGCACACATATATGTTGGTGTTCCCAATCCATCTCATCTTTTTTCTTTACCATTAGTGGTTAGCTACTTCTATTGTTCCATTTATTAACATTAAATAATGTTACTTAAAACATATACCTACAGTATATTCTTTTTTTTACATTAATTTTACTACAGCTACAACCAGGGTCTTATTTTCTTCATTTTCTCGTGTAGAACCATCGTCCTGGACTTCCGGCTGTAAACACAAACGAAAACAATGGCGTCCCATCTCTTGTGTGACCATATTATTATTCATTTATATTGTACAGTATAAGGTGCATTCAGAAACATTATTTAAAGAATATAGTTTGCAATTTTCATTAATTGTATTGTTTTGGGGGGAAAAGACGGTAAAAAGATATGAAAAGGTCACACTTGGGAACACATCTCATTATTATTGGTTTATTTTAATGGTAATTAATGATTCGCTATAAGACGATTCACCTCACACTGCAGTATTGGAGGACACATTACCGTCGTTATTCAAGGCTTTACTGTACTCCAGTTGACTCCCCTAACATAACACCATACTTACTTGCTTCTCATTTAATTTATTTATTATTAACACATAATACAACTGTATAAAGTAACTGTACATTCCTGTGTAATATTTAGGGCTTAAATAAGTATATTTTTCTAATTTTATTTTTTGTTCCTAAGTTAAGGTACAGTATAATATAAATGATAGGGCATTAAAGACTGTTATTTATGAAACCCTACATTCTCTGGTGTCCCCAGGTTTAGTCCACACAACATTGAGGTAAACCGGGCTTCACTGTAGCCCTTAACAATAACACTGGCCTCCTTCACCTCTAGTGCGTGGCCATTAAGTATATAAGGTACAGTAGGTAAACTACAAACTTGTTGAACACACTTACTTGGTCCTTCAGCCACTGCTTGCGGAAGGCTCGATCAGCATCTGTCATGCCGGCCAAACGTGTCCGCTCATTTTTGAAGGGGCCCTCAATAGGAAACGCCTTTACTCCTCCCGTGTCTGTAAGATAGAGAATTGCTGCACTCTACTGAAGTACCGTGTGAGGCCTTTCTCAAAATTAAAGGCCCGAAAAAATCCCACATCGCCAGAATTTTTCCGTGTACTGGGGTAAGTTTTCTGAGTGTAACTATTGTAAGCATCTCACACACAGAACTGTAGTAAGTAAACACCACTGTACATATACAATATATTGTATAGTTTAAACAAAATAATGTATACAGTACTACTACTGTAATGTGCTGTATATAGCTACTGTACTCATCAGCAGATGCTGTTATCCTGGAATAGAACACAAAACATTACAGGTCAATATATCGTAGACAGGGATCGTTACAACAAGAGGTTCAATGGGATATGTTCCCAGCCAGGTCGACACCCACATGTATCACTCATAAAACACAATTAAACAACACCGACCACATCAATAAGGACAAGTTGCTTTCATTGGTACCACATTTCAAAATAAGTACTTTTTGTTTAATATGGCTGGGGTCTGGCTAGGTTAGGTAAATTTTTTGGTTGGTTAGGTCAGGTTCTATTACTTTTACTTTTATCCTCTTCACCAAAAGATCGGCTCGTTGGCCGCTTGGGCGATCGGTCACGTCTGTCACGCACTGTTGGCAAGTACTGGGCATGTACCCGAACCTGCTCCAGTGTTGGTCAAGTCGGGTCTGAAAGAGCTCACACTCGGTGCCGTCACAACACTTTCTGGCAGGTTGTTCCAAGAGTTCACAACTCTCACTCCGAAAAAGGTTCTAGTAAATGTCACCTCTTTTAAAATACTTACTATAATGATAAGAACATCTGTTAAAAAAATGAACATTGAACAACTCCTTCTGGTGGTAGAGCTGTTCTCATGCATCACATTTTTCTGTAGAAGATAAGTCTTTCTTACAACATGAACACTCCAAAGAGTCTGGGAAGAAAACTTGTTCATAACATTATTGGTACAGTTTCTTCCGTCCTGAACACTCACACCACTAAACCTTGTCTCCATAGTTAACATTGGGGAAGTTTCATTTCATCCACACAAACATTTCCCCAGACATGCCCAACACGGCTGCATCATATTTTGGTAGGTTAGGTTAGGTAACACATTTATTTATCAGATTTTTTGGTTGCTGTAATCTGCAATTTTACCCATATTCTTATATGTCCTCCAGGCAGTCCCTGGTTATGTACGAGCTCTGTTTCTACAGACTTTCTTAAGTTGAAACACATACCCTATGTACACTTACAGAATAATGTTTAAAATCCCATTATATCCCAGCCTAAGTCCTTATGTAATCACTTAATTTAAGAACAAAGAAGAAACAGAACGATGAAATACAGTAAATGAAAGTAAAAAATAAGTCATCAGGTAAAGGCAGTACAGTAGGCAGCTATCAAACAGGGAAGTACTACTGCCTGGAAAGATATTGGAAGCATAATGTGTTGTAGGCAGCTATCAAACAGGGAAGTACTACTGCCTGGGAAGATATTGGAAGCATAATGTGTTGTAGGCAGCTATCAAACAGGGAAGTACTACTGCCTGGGAAGATATTGGAAGCATAATGTGTTGTAGGCAGCTATCAAACAGGGAAGTACTACTGCCTGGGAACATACTGGAAGCATACTGTGTTGTAGGCAGCTATCAAACAGGGAAGCACTACTGCCTGGGAAGATATTGGAAGCATAATGTTTTGTAGGCAGCTATCAAACAGGGAAGTACTACTGCCTGGGAAGATATTGGAAGCATAATGTTTTGTAGGCAGCTATCAAACAGGGAAGTACTACTGCCTGGGATGATATTAGAAGCATAATGTGTTGTAGGCAGCTATCAAACAGGGAAGTACTACTGCCTGGGAACATACTAGAAGCATAATGTTTTGTAGGCAGCTATCAAACAGGAAGTACTACTGCCTGGGGAAGATATTGGAAGCATAATGTTTTGTAGGCAGCTATCAAACAGGGAAGTACTACTGCCTGGGATGATTAGAAGCATAATGTGTTGTAGGCAGCTATCAAACAGGGAAGTACTACTGCCTGGGAACATACTGGAAGCATACTGTGTTGTAGGCAGCTATCAAACAGGGAAGCACTACTGCCTGGGAAGATATTGGAAGCATAATGTTTTGTAGGCAGCTATCAAACAGGGAAGCACTACTGCCTGGGATGATATTGGAAGCATAATGTGTTGTAGGCAGCTATCAAACAGGGAAGTACTACTGTCTGGGAACATACTGGAAGCATATGTGTTGTAGGCAGCTATCAAACAGGGAAGTACTACTGCCTGGGAAGATATTGGAAGCATAATGTGTTGTAGGCAGCTATCAAACAGGGAAGTACTACTGCCTGGGAAGATATTGGAAGCATAATGTGTTGTAGGCAGCTATCAAACAGGGAAGTACTACTGCCTGGGAAGATATTGGAAGCATAATGTGTTGTAGGCAGCTATCAAACAGGGAAGTACTACCTGGGAAGATATTGGAAGCATAATGTGTTGTAGGCAGCTATCAAACAGGGAAGTACTACTGTCTGGGAACATACTAGAAGCATACTGTGTTGTAGGCAGCTATCAAACAGGGAAGTACTACTGCCTGGGATGATATTGGAAGCATAATGTGTTGTAGGCAGCTATCAAACAGGAAGTACTACTGCCTGGGAACATACTGGAAGCATACTGTGTTGTAGGCAGCTATCAAACAGGGAAGCACTACTGCCTGGGAAGATATTGGAAGCATAATGTTTTGTAGGCAGCTATCAAACAGGGAAGTACTACTGCCTGGGAAGATATTGGAAGCATAATGTGTTGTAGGCAGCTATCAAACAGGGAAGTACTACTGCCTGGGAAGATATTGGAAGCATAATGTTTTGTAGGCAGCTATCAAACAGGGAAGTACTACTGCCTGGGAAGATATTGGAAGCATAATGTTTTGTAGGCAGCTATCAAACAGGGAAGTACTACTGCCTGGGATGATATTAGAAGCATAATGTGTTGTAGGCAGCTATCAAACAGGGAAGTACTACTGTCTGGGAACATACTGGAAGCATAATGTAAGAACATAAGAACATAAGGAGTCTGCAATAGGCCGGTTGGCCTGTGCATGGCAGCTCTTGTCGAGAGTTACTACCACTCTCTATCATCCATGAATATATCCAGCCTCCTTTTGAAACTTTCAGCACTTACTACAAAGTTGTTAAGCTTGTTCCACTCGTCCACCGCCCTATTTGTAAACCAGTTCCTTTCTATCTCCCTCCTAAACCTAAACTTATCCAACTTAAATCCGTTGCTCCGAGTCCTTTCCAGCTCGGATTTTATAAGAACTTTATCTATATCACCTTTATTGATTCCTTTCACCCACTTGAATACTTCTATCATATCTCCCCGCACTCTTCGTCTTTCTAGGGAATGCAAGTTTAGTTTCTTTAACCTATCCTGATATGGAATGTTTCTAAGTCCCGGAATCATTTTCGTCAGTCTTCGCTGCACCGACTCTAGTGAATTGATATCCATTCTATAATAGGGGCACCAGAACTGAACCGCATAATCGAGGTGCGGCCTGACTAGCGCTAGATATAGTTGCAATAAGACCTCTGCACTCTTATTACTTACACTTCTAGATATAAAACCCAATACTCTGTTTGCCTTATTTCGAACATTAACGCACTGTTTTCTAGTCCGTATGTCCGGGCTTACAAGTACCCCTAGGTCTCTTTCACAAGTCGACTTCTCTAGGCTGATGTTATTAAGGTTGTATACATTGACAATATTTGTTCTTCCAATATTAAGTACGCTGCACCTGCTGGTGTTGAATTTCATTTGCCATTTTTCAGACCACCCCTGCAGTTTATTTAGATCCTCCTGTAATGCATTTGCATCCTGCCCTGAATTAATCTGCCGCCCTATTTTGGTGTCATCCGCAAACTTGCTTATCTTACTGCTGATCCCAGTATCTAGATCGTTTATGTAGATTATGAACAAGAGTGGGCCTAGTACTGACCCCTGGGGAACCCCACTGGTTACACGACCCCACTCAGATTTAACACCATCTACGCTGACCCTCTGCATTCTATCGGTGAGCCATGATTGTATCCAATTTAAAACTTTCCCCTTGATACCATGAGCCTTAACTTTTCTCAGAAGCCTCTGATGCGGTACTCTGTCAAATGCTTTGCTAAAGTCTAAGTAAATAACGTCGTAATTTTCGTCATTATCTACTACCTCGAAGACTTTCCTAAAAAACGTTAGCAGATTTGTTAGACAAGATTTTCCCTTTGTAAACCCATGTTGAGAGTCATAGATTAATTTGCTTTTCTCTAAACGCGATCGGATGTTATTTGCTAGAATTGATTCAAGAAATTTCCCCACCACTGACGTCAAACTGAACGGCCGGTAATCTGACGCTGATGCTCTGTCTCCCTTTTTGAATATGGGTACTACATTTGCCTGTTTCCACAAGTCTGGCACAACTCCAGTGTCTAATGATGTGTTGTCTGATGTGCCTGGGTGAGCTAAACTTTTGGGACCTCGTTTGGTAAATGTTTACTTTCGGACACAAGTCCCTAGGGGTTGACTAATATGTTTTTCCGGTGTATTTTGGCGAGTTTTATACGAATCTGACCTTCAGTTTGGGCGGAAGTTAATCGTCCCCCCCAACGATACAGGGGTAGAGCCTGGGAAACCTGGTTTTTGGGTGGGGGGAACACACAAACGAGTCAGCTAATCAAACCCCTGACCCCCGGTAGGCTTAGCTTAAACTAACCTAACCTATTCATTTTCAACTAATATAAATGGGTATTAAAAGACTCAAAATAAGGAGATCTAAATGTTTCAGTAGTTTTAAACTTTGGGGAGCATCAAGTCCGAAAGTACAATACAGGTGCTCCTCCACTTACCAACGAGTTACGTTCCTGAGGCTTGTTTGTAAGTCCAACTTTACTCTTGTAGATACCAAACATATTGTAAAAAATTAAAAGATTATGCATATTTAGTACAGCTATACCCTTTAATACAGCCTTAAAACCTGGCTCACTCTTCTCCTCTTAGGTAATGTTTGTTCTATCTGGAATTTTCTTCCAAATAATCCAGTCTCATCCACATTAAACACCTGTTATGGCAGGTAACCTCCTCAGTGATGATGTTTGTATCTCTGAAAGTTTGTAAGTTGAACGTTGTTAAGTAGAGGAGCGCCTGTACCTCAGTGGAAGGACCAGGGACAGGGTCAACCTCTGATGCTTGTTTACAGTGCTGGCCTCACCAGACGTAGGGTGAACACCATGATTACTTAGGAATTGAATAGCTTTATCGTCTTTCTCGTAAAACTCAGCAATAAACTTAAATAATCGTAGGAACACGATTGACACCCAACCTCTACCACGGCCATTGTCACACTGGTCATTGAAATTTAAATCCTTCAAATCCGTACCTTGGCTCCTCCCTTTGAAAAAACAAAATTTTGATTGGTCGAAAAAAATTTGCGAGATGAGATCGATACATCATTGGTCACGACCGGAAGACGTCACGCATGCATGATGTAAACACGCTCATAATTAGCTCGCTCTCACGACGTAACATCTCAGACAAAGACAGAAAACTACTTAAAATCAATTAAATTCACTTGTGTCGCCAGCATACATTTCCGCCATGTATATATGGGGTTCAAAATGCTCAGAATAGCGAGACCTAATGTTTTAGTAGTGTCGGGGCGCTGTGTCCGGAGT